AAGTGTGAGCAAATGTATGAAGTTAATGACAACTAAACTTAAGAAAAAATTTTTATTATGTTGAATGTTTGAGAGCAAAAGTTGAATGAAGTGCCTCTACTAATGTAGAACTGATGAAGTTCATGTGTTCTGTTTTAATAATTATGTAGCGGTTATCCTTTTTACTTCCTGTTAGAGATAATATGAGTAATTATTTATGTCAAGCACTTGCTGGTATTGCAATAACAGTAGGATAAGTTATGTTGAAAACTGCCAGCACGTTGATATTTTATACCCATCTGTTTTAAGCATTGTACATAATTTTGTACTGTATATTTGGTATTTAATATTTATAATTCAACAAGACGGATTTAGATTTTTTTATGACTCAGCTCATTGCACCGTAGCATGATGAAAACTGTCTACATCTAATAGTTACCCCTTTTGCTGTACAAACTCCCGTTTATATATATATATAGTTATTTTATTCGTACCAAAGCCATTTCTGCCAGATTTTTCCTGTAAAGAAGAAACATTCCCTGAATAACAAGACTTGAACATGTTGTGCAGTTATTTGTATATAATTTGCTCTCAGAAACAAATATATTATTTTTTATTCTTTCGTATCTTGAATCAGGTGTATCGCTGCCAGTATTTTATAACTATTAATTTCCCAAAGGTTCCTGAAGATGTAGTTTGCTCTTTTTACATTAAAACCTTTCAGGTGATGTGTGAAACCAACTCCATGGAGCAGGGCCCTTCGTGAGACTGATACCTACTCAGCTAGTCAAGAAATTACCTGCTTTGTATGGAACCCAAATTTTTATTACTGTGCTCACAGTCCAACCAAAATGTTAAGCATCTCTCATCCCTCCCATCTGTGGGACATGTCCCAGCCATCTTGTCGTTGATATCGTCCTAGTAATCAAGGTGAAAAGGGTTCAAGCTCTGGTTTGACACACAGTCTCTTCCCCAATAGGCTTGTATGAAAATTTGTTTCCCAACTGAATTTAATTACAAAGCAAAATGGAACATTTATCACAACTGTGAAATCAGCTTTTCATATGCTCAGAGAATGAGGAAACTGAAGATGACATCTGTCGGGGAAACCAGACTCCAGCACATGAAAAAAATAATTAGTTATTTACAATGTCATGCCAGTAACAAGAAATAAGAGTAAAATTCTGAGGTTTAAATGTGGAAGTCTAAACAACCAGTACTTTCCAACACAAAGAAGCAAATTTGAAAGAATAATTTTCATTACATTTTTATTCCCAAATTTTAAACAATTAAGATTAAATCTAATGTTGCACATTACACAAATATGGACAGTACGTTAATGTTCCTTCAGGTATTTGTACTTGGTGCTTATCAATGCAACTTCAAAATACATCTCGCCATGGTCACAGAAGACGCTCACCTTGTCTTCTTCACTATAAGAATCTGTGCCTTATAAATTATTCTAGACCCAGGTTTTCCAATCTGCACTTTGTGGTTTATGATTCATGGGTTACAACAATGCTGTATCAACTGCAGATTATGTGGTATGGTGGAATAAAGAAGGAAGTAGCTGTTCCATTTCCATATTACTGTTAGGACTACAAATAAAATAGAAAGAAAGAAAGGTAGACAGCCAATGGTGGTGACCTGACCAGCATTAGCTCCCAAATAAAATTCTGACATGAAGAAGACTGCCTCTTGGGATGTTGTACCTTTAATATGGCAGAAATTTACTGACATTTCAGAGGTCCTTGCTGCCTCCATCATCAGGCTGATGATGGAAACAAGGACCTCTAAAATATTTATAAACTTTGACCACACTACATGGCACCACAACCAAGAAGACAGCCGTCTTCAGACTCTCTGCCATGAAAACCTCAAATCATACATGTTAGCACGATATCGACCTGTTTGCTGTACTTTGCAGATGTGAAGGCTGAATGCAGAAAAGGCAGGTTATAGCTGGGTTATTTTCTCAAAGTTGCATGAAGAGACACGAGCAATCCTCTCATGAACAAATAAAATGGTATGTGAACATACATGAACTTCCACATATTATTTACTGGAAACATTTTTATTTTGCGATCACTTAAAAGCAGCAGAACTAATCACATTTCTCAGAACAAAAGCTAGTGAAATTTGGAACATAGGACTGCAACAAGACCAGGAACCACTGCTCAAAGAGTACGTTTCCATTCATACACAGTCATCTTCAGTTGTCATCATCTGCCTCTCTAATCACAGGGACTGCAGGAAGATGGTGACTGTAACATTTATGCTTGAATACAGTGCTACTTTGTAGATACATAAGTACTTTGAGTTATGTCCAATTTTAACACATTTTAATTCTTCTTTGTGAAGTAAAGTTATCCTGCTACATGCTATGGAGACAGGTGAGGAAGAGGAGGTGTAACTCCTACTCCTTCCTGACCTATGCACTAAATTGGGGTAAATGGTCGGTGTCATGCCTCGGCCACGCTTTACCCCTGAAGAAACAACACCGTGGGATGGGAGGCTGAGTGGGCCCCAGAGTCAGCCTGGACGCAGAGGCTAGATAAAAAATCCTTTGTCCCCATTGCGGATCAAACCCGTCATCCAGTCCATAATCAGACGTTATACTGGATGAGCTACACCAGCTCATATTCTTTGTATTTTGAGGAAAACCAGCCAGAACTGCACTTATCACAAAAAAAGCACTGCTTACATCTCATAATAAATTTCCTTGTCAATATTTTGTTTGCAGTTAACTACAGAGTCAAATACAGAACCATCAAATGAAACACAGTTTTTCTCTCCTTTATTTGAAAGTGGATCACAAAAGGTGAAAATTTATAATGAAAAGAAAGGGTGCAGAAAATTAAGAGAAATACAATTCTGTGTAATTCTGATATCCAGTTAAAATAGGACAAGCTCTGTCATGTTTTCCTTGAATCATCGTAAAGTTCTCGTAACACTGGCCAGTAGCTTACGAGCTACTCTGTTCACAGCAGCAGGATTCTACTCACCTGCTGGCATCAAACATTTAATCCCAAGGTGGCAAAACCAGCTACGTATATATCATAATATAAAAATTTGTACTCACCACTTTATACGCAACTATTAACTAGTTTCACTTTCATTGTAATGTCTTCATGTGTTTTGAATGTTTCATGCTTCAATATTATGTGCATAATGCTAATAAAGAAGAGCAGAAATGTATGTGATTCCACAGTATTAATTTCTTAATTCACGATCAATTAATTCTCTCATAAAACAAAAATTAATAATGAAACGAAATATTTTCGTCTGAACTGCATTTTAAAACATCTCAATATGGAACTACGACACATAATTGTATTTGCAAAATGTCAGCTGTTGGTGCAAAATTCAAACCACATGACTTTTAGAAGCAATTTTAAGTGTCATAATCCTCATCTACCGTCGCACTTGCCTTGGGCTGAACATACCGCGGAACTATGACTGGTCTCCGGTATCGCTCTTCATTCTCACTTCCACTGTCATCGGTGTCCCGAATGTCTGTAGCACTGGGATGTATAAATGAACTCCGAGGAGGCGTCACAGCAACAGCAGCAGGTTGTTGGCAAAAACTCTCAGTAACGCTCATACTGGCTTCCTCAGTTTCTTTATAAAAGTTTAGGTTAATTTTATTGCTTGAAACAGCAGCCGCTTGCAAGGACGGAGATACGTGTCCGATGTCCTCTCTGCTGCTTGGAACACTAACACCTTCCTGCTTCCACTGAATAGCACTGCTGTTAGACAGAAAACCATGTCTGGAGTACATGTTAGATGAAAGACTTTAGGTGATTGTGAAATCAAAGTATATCCTGACTTAAACTTGTTATCACCACAAAATGCAAATCAATGCATTGCTAAACTCATACTTTCAGTAATTATATAAGATGTTTCTCTCACCTTGCAGTATCAGATTTTCCAACACTGTTGGATGGCTGAACACTGATGCTGGTCTGTCCTGCCCCATCTTCCAAATCACAGGTTGTCACATCAGGTAGCATTATCACTAAGTCTTTGAGAAAGTCAAAGCGACTCTCAGAAAGTATGCACTGTTTCCTAAATGAAAGACAGACAATTCAAGGGCTGACCCCCTCTTCACTTACTTATTGGAAATGTTAACACTCGCAGGTTCTCTGCTGGTGCCTTACCTCTAAGACCAGTACATTAATGCTTTGAAGTATTATATGGTAAAGAAATGAATGGCAATCAATCAACAAGGAACTGCACCATCTAGTGACAGAAGATAAAAAGAACATCTCAAAGTGTGTTCTGATGGAGATGTTGGACATGTTTTTCTGGACAAAGCACTGGTTAGTGAAAACACTCAGACAAGGGGGCAAGCATATTAACAATGTTTATACAGTAACTATGCTAATTGAAGAAGCATGAATATCATAGTCTAAGCTTTAACCTTCAAAGAAAACCTCAGATCTCATACAGAATTCCGTTTAATTTCAAACACAACGCGACAAGGCTCTGAAGGTGTTGGGTAATTTTACGAAGCATGGCAACTTCTGTTAACCCATAATCAATAACATAAGAGAAACCTGTCAGTTTCCAATCAACAAAGTACTGACTATGGAACATTACTGTAATGTTAGCAAAACACTAATCATGATTAATTCAGGACACACTTACATGTGTGACGGGCTTAAAGTTTTTGCATTTTTGGTGCTTGTTATTTCCATTGCTTTTTTAAGCAATGATTCAACAAACAGCTCCAGTGTTCTGGGTTCACATAGTTAAGGATTACATCCTTCATACACATTTCAATCATACGTAAACACTAGCACAACGCCTCTTCAAATTGCAGTATATAGATCTTGAATTGTAATACTCGGATGAAATAAATAAACTAACACATATCCAACCAGTAAAATTTCAAGCAATAAAAAATTCTGATGTGACTATGATGTATTGTACGACTGGGTGTGCATGAGCCCAACACACTAACCCACAAGCTAAACTGCATTACAAACTTGCATTACCTAAATAATGCACAAAAAATACTTGCAGGACTAGAAGTCAGTACAACAGCAATGTAAGATTAAAAGATTTTGCCAGAACTGTATGTTTTATTTTTATCAAAAATGTCCAAGCAACATGATACTTTGTACATAAAAAGGAAATGACTAAGATGTTACATTTTTTATGAAGCTGGATAAAATGCCATTGGCATATGCAAAATATTAATGAAGCAATTAGAACACAAAATTCTGTGCAGGTTACATGATTTAACCTTGGAAGAAAAGGCTCTACAGATGTAAATACACAACTATGAAATATCTTCATGAATACATCCAAATGCAGAAAACTTGACTGAAATTATGCACACTCATTCCTGTCAAGAAGGTTTATTAGTTTAACTATTCTAATTCTATTTTCATTATACATATATGATACAATTTTTCCATTAAAGGTAAGGGTAGTTCTACAACACAATCCAAGTTCAAGTTTGCAGTGCCTTAAATCAAGATTGCACACACAAATCCAGTGACCTAACATTCTGTAATCAAGCGCCAGTATTGTGCCATTCGCGAGTGACTGCATAATATGTATCACCAAGTGCACATATCAACAGTATTTAATCATTCATTAAGATTACATTCAGTGTCCTGGACTTCATAATGTATGTGTTCTAATGCTATTTACCTGAATGGTGAATAAATTACATAACAGATTCAGTGATTACCAGTGCTATAATTCATGAAAAAACTCAACATTGCATCAACCTACAAATGCCAGCTCAATGCCAGTCTGGAATCCAGCCAGTGACAAAAATGCTTCCCACATTAACCTCAAGACGAAACATCTCATGCATTAATCCAACGCCTTTATTTATCCATCAACAGCCTACTTACCCACTAACCAAATTATCCTGGCACCCAACACTAAGAAGCATCACTCACAGTTACACCATCCCAATGGAAGTCAACAGCAGGTACAAACACTGTAGGACGCCAAGACCAAACCGCTGCACTGTGCTTTACAGACAGACTTTACGTAACTACATCCAATACCCTTTGCATTACCTAAATAAAGGTGGTGATTAATGTGGTAGTGGTGATGATAATGAAAAACTAAACTATAAACTTATAATAATTCAAGATCAGTCACTATCTAACTCATTACTGTTTCACAGCTATGGGAAATATTATGTACAGGAAAAGATAGGAAGGCAGATTTCATCAGTAACTAAACCTCAAAATTGCAAAAAAAGTTACATAGGACATCCCATAATGGCATTGACAAAATATTAAATTAGTTTTATAAAACTGTACTGAAAGGATATAAATGATAACAGGTACGGCCTGAGCAACTTTCCCCACCTCTTCATCCGTTTGCATGATCTTCTTTATTCGACCCTGTGAAAGAGAAATCATTCATTTCAATTTCACATTTTAACTAACCTCATTTAAATTTTAGAATTTAAGAAGGTATAAACATGACAGAATAACGAAGCTAACATTAGAAAAGGCAAAACTATTCCTACCTGATTACAATGATAGAACTAAAAGACAATCTTTCTTTGTGTTGTTTTCTCTGTTTCTTACACATGTGCTGCGCAACACGTCCGATGATTACGAGCAGTCGAGATGAACAGGACATACAAGGAAAAGGTAAATAAAGGATGGGGAAAGGAGAACTTGTTCTGATCAATGAAGATGACATAAAATACAAAACTGCAGCTCCCTTAACATCTTAAAAGAACACGTCTCTGAATGAATATGAGGCAAATGAAGATGTGTGCTACGTCCCATTTCTTTGAAAGAATTACAACATTGAAAAATTTCAGTTATGATTCCATACCAACTTCTGTACCTGAGTAGAGCAATAGGCAGTGCCGCATGTTGAAAGTGATGACCCCTGATACTCAGCAGCTTTAAATCTGGAGCACTGCCAAGTCATTAAATGTTGCATGAAACATACATTTCTTTTTAATTAAGAGTGTGCAGTTTTAGCAATTATTTCAAAAGTCAACTTCATTGACTATGCACAGAGTACAGCAAAAGTTCACCAAATTCCATTGAACCCAAAGAAGTCGGGATGAAAACCGCATTTTTAAGTTGATTTGACATGGAATGACCAGAAGTTCAAAATTCACAAAACTGCTTTTTTCCTTTAGGCTTATATGGATGCAAAACCTGGTACTTTGCACACAGACTGAGAATGAGATTTCAGGTTCTCATGGTGGCAAGTACAAAAATGGCTGTCTTCTGAGTTGTTCCACCATGTAGTCTGGCAGAAGCTTACTGACATTTTTTAAATGTGGGTTGCCTCCATAATCAGGGCTATAAGGCAGCAAGAACCTCTGAAAAAGGTCAGTAGAGACAGCCATCTTCAGATTGATGGTATATGCTGACAGGGTGCTTGCAGAATATTTGAACTTAAAGGAGATGAAGTGACAGGGTGGTGCAGAAAACTGCTTGAACTTTACAATTTTTACTCTTCATCAAATATTATGAAAGTCGTCAAATCAAGGACTGGATGGGTAAAGCAAGCAGTATGCGTGAAAGAGACAAGAAAATGCATGCACAATTTTGGTCAGGAAACTTGAAGGGGGGAAACAGGTATAGATGGAAGAATAGAAAAATACCTTATCACAGCTAAGATGATTGGTAGTCAAAACAAATTCTCCTTTCCTCCCACTCCTTTGGAAACACAGGATGGAAATGTTACTATCCGTCCTGCAAACACTTACACGACTCTGTTTAGATTGCCTCTCATCTTACCCGTAATGTCATGTAAAACAGATCTTTGAGAAATCAGGTGAGAGAATGTGGAATAGATTCATCTTCCTTAGAATAGGGACTGGTGGCAGCTCTTGTTCACATGATAATGAACTTTCAGATTATATAGAAGGCAGAAAATGTCTTGAGCCACCATCAACATCTTCACTGCCATGAGAACCTCAAATCTCACAGTTTCAACTGTGTCCTTCACTTAATGTGAGAGACCCAGTTTCATGCCTATGCCAAACTACAGGAAACAGTATAGCTTTGTATATTTTAATTATATGCTTTACAGAGTAAACATTAAAGACTGAACAGCATTCTCTAAATTTAATTTACTCTTAACTTCTTCATAAAAAAATTTAATTTGTTACTGTCTCTCTCAAATACCTCTATTCAGCCATATTTTAATTGGATCCGTCATCTTTATGTTATGATTAATTCCTGCAGTCCCCACTCCACTGTCACTACCAAAAAACAACTACTCCAAAACAGTACTAACCGTTTTATAAAAGGGCTATTAAAGTTCATAAACTTTTAAGGCTTTGCGAAAATAAGTAAGATATGTAATTTTCTGTAGTGCAATACTTTTCAATATTAAATAACAATCAAACAATACGAAAGAAAACAAAATCTCTTGACATCTGCTGGTTGTACTGCTCATCCTAACCTATACTGACATAAAAATTATCAGTTTATAATTAATTTTTCCAAACTAACAACAAACGTTAGAATGCAGATAATTATGCATATTCTGTCAGTCTCAAAACTGCACTAAAATCTAATATGTTTCTAAATTAAATTAAACGCAAATAAAACGTTCTGAATGGTTAACATATCTCTTACATGTAACAAGACTTACCGCTGGAAAACGAGCATTATACTTCGTCTTTTTACTTGGCATTATTTTAATTGCACAGCTTTTCACAAGGAAAAAAACAAAATTATTTTTGAGATAAATCAAATATATCCAGAAAATACAATAAAAATACAAAACTCAACACTGAGTAGACAGACTATTGAACGAGAAATCGAACCGCGCATGGTTGGATGAACTGTAGGACACATTGAGGGCAACATTATGCTTTTCCATCGAACTTATTTTACAGCAGGCAGATGACATCAGGGCGCAGCACATTCGTTGTCATACTCACGTTCTTGCACTGACTCGACTGCTGTAATTTCGGAGAAACATTTATCAGAAAACATCACTAATTGAAAGCAAAAGGCACTCAGACAATAATTATAAAACGAAAGGAAACTTTTCTTTTGCCTATCAAGTGAGGAAACATTGTAATCAACCACGGCAAAAAGTTAACATTTTTCCTCATGTGCTGTTGCCCATTTCTTCGAAAGGATTACAACATGCAGAAAATTTCAGCTGTGTAACAAATCAAGTTGGGTAACTGAGTTCACTGATTAAAAGTACGAATAATGGGCAACAACTTAAAAACTTTAAAAATTGTAGACATTTGTTTAAAAAAATCTGAGCACATCGTACATAGGTTAGAAATACTGCCCTGATAAATAAGAGGCGATTTGAATAAATCACATCCTTTATTGAGAATCAAAACCGCGATCATCCAGACCATAGCCGAAACTAGGTCCATCTGCTTGAGTCGTAATGAAAGTTGCTGGTAAATCATGGTCATTTGAAAATTATTGCTAACTAACAATTTCCCAAAAGTGTACATTTTACAATCAAACAGGAAAGTTGAAACACACAGTTCAGCTTCTGTGTCACAGCTACTCATCCAGCTTTATTATACAGAAACCCAATTAATTAACATTTAAAGCACTGAACCTCTTCTCCTAACTTGCCACCAGTAAATATTTTTGCTGTAATGACATACTTGCTATTGAATGCAGGAAATTTGTTTCACTCTGAGAGATGTTCATATTTTATTGCAGCGTTACTGTAAAACCCGTCACTTAAATGTGTAACTGTCCAGAAATGTCAGATTGAACTTACAGGGTCCATAAACTGGTTAGCAGTTCCCGCGTACCACCACTGGGAGCTGACTATCAGCCAACTTGAGGAAGCTGAGAAGACAACTATCAGACCCTCCTTAGCAGGCTAATGTATGTCATAGGTGGCATATGGCTGCAAGTGGATAGAGTAAACAGGGATAAACAACAAAAGGTCTGAAATGGTCGCAGTGCAAGGGTCAGTCAGGTGGAGGTGGCACTCGCTGTCTGTAAAGTGCTCTGCACATGTGTGCTAATGGCAGGAGTGGTCCATTACCAACCACTGTCAGGAGACTGGAATACAGCATTACAATGTAGAGGAAAACATTTATATCAAAATAATCCAGACTGATCTGTGAAGTGAAAAACATCAACCAAGGAAATAATCAACTAGAAAAATGTTAATTAAATCCGTGCAATCACCAGTTGCGTCACAATATGACACTGAAGGTGAAAGCTACCTATAAAGTCTTTTGGCCAGCATTCTCTTACTTAGCCAAATGTCTTTGTCCAGTGGTTAGCACTTATTCATATTCAACAGGTATCCTTTTCAGATCTCAACTGGAATAATGGTCAAGATGGCTGAAGCTTTTTTGTAGTTTTTCCAGGGTCAACCGCCTGCAGAATCTGGCATATTTCTTTTCACATTTTAATGCACAGCTTTTTAAGTGCTTTGAATTTTCATGCTGTATCTCTCTGGCAGGACTCTTGACATTGTTTCATGCAGGTGACAGCAGCCTTAGTTGCTCACATATGCTCAGTTATTTTAAGAGTGCCTCCTTACTTGACTCTGATAAAGCACTGAAAGCTCATTACCACAGTTTCAATAATTTTCCAGTCATTCCATATTAAGAACAAGGGCAGGGGAGACTGAATTTGCCGGCATTGCAAATGTCCTTAAAAGCGGTATACTTACAACGTAAAAGCTTGCTGTAAAATAAGAACAGGAGCTTCCATGACTGAATCTGCTGACAAATTATTATTATTATTATTTTACATTACAGTTCATATATTACATTTGGTTACACTGTACTTACACGATGTAGGACAGAAACAGAAGATTCATCGTTTTACTGAGCAAAAATGCAAATAATTCTGGAGACACATAAACAGTCTAACCTGATTACCATTTTTAACTTCGTGGATTAGATTTCACTCATGGGCATTATACACACTTAAAATCGATGTAAAAAGTCAACTGTTTCAGTTGAATCACAGAACATTTACCTACCTGGCTTAATCTTGATATTTTGTGTAATAATAGGCCTATATTATAAGATTTACATAATAAAATCATGTAATTACCTACATATTTAATAATTGGGCAGTCTGAGGTATTATGACATAAAACACACTTGTTTGGCATAATTACTGAATGATACAGCGTGTCCTTATTTGATTTTTCTATATGTAGTTTGGTTACCCTCTATACGTACACATACCGATTTATACGTAACTTATCTTAATTGTCTTCATTCATATCCATTCTGATACTTTATACACATTTATATCAGTACCAAATTTTCATTTTATAAACTGGGCACAACTAGATAAAACATTAACAACAAATAATTAAAATAATATTTGATATTCAAACAAATTTATAGATTCATCCCGTACCACTATTTGAAGCAGGACAATCCTCCTTTCAAAACATGTCCTCACACCTTCGTTCACCTTTGCACGAAACACCACCGTCTTCAAAGTTAACATGTTTGGCACAACTACCGAATGCTGTATTGTGAATAAGGCTGTAAGACGTCATGAGGCTCCATCTGTCCCTAAACAGGCTGTCCAGCACTTTTGAAGTCGCCAACAACCGTGATGTTTATTTTTCAAATTTGTGGGCTCACAAAAGAAACTGTCGCTGTGTATTTTTTAATACCGAGATGAAGTAAGTTCTTGAAAATAAACTTTTCAGCTAGGGTGAAGAGGCCAACACGCAGAAAAGAGTTAGGGCGCGAAATACAAGCTCTGCTGAGAAGTTGTTGATATGTGCAGGTTTACTTTTGATCATATAAAAGTGTCCCGTTCTTTAGTGGAGATGTGAGGGTGTGGTGATGGTCAGTTTGAAGCTCCAACTTTTCCCTTGCTGGCAACCACAGAACAAAAATTGAGTGGATATTGGTTATTAGTACAAAAATAAAAAGAATTGTAATACCACAGCCAGGAATGAAATCATTACTCACTGGGCTGTGAGGACGCTCTTTGTATGTTGCAGTTCATCTGATTTCTTAATCTTGAAGAATCAGAAAATTGTTGGCATCGACTACATACAGTCACATTAAATTAAATAGTGTTTAATATTACTGAATCCATTTTCTTTAAATATTTGGTGGCAATGTGACTTCTTTCAAAATGATGGCTGCAAGTCTAGGAACTGTAAAGACAACGCTGCTTCCCCCTCCCCCCCTTCTTTGGCCTGAGTTAACGATTATGAAGTTAATATATAATTATATTTTATATAAAGTAACAAAATCTTTTGAGGTGATCAGACATGTCACTTGCTTAAAAATCACTGACAGTTCAAGGACCATCTCTGTCCCCTTCATAAGGTCCGTGATGGCGACAGAGATGGCTCCCAAAACACCTGTAATTTCTAACCAACTGACATGACTGATAGGCTGAGAAGATTTTAGTAATGTTAATTGCTGTAAACTTCAGATAATACGTGTGTAATTAATTAGTTTCTGTTGTAAGCCCACTGTCGTGAGTGCAAGTTTCAGTCGATTGTTGATATGCAGCAACGTTGTGTAGAATGATCATCACGAGAAGAGAAAAGCAGATAATTTGTACCTTGGCATTTCTGCAGCTTTGAAGCAAAGATCGGTTCACTTATTCACTTCCGATCCCATCCAGATGAATTATAGAACCAAGACTCTTCTCTGCTCTTTGCCCAAGTTGTATCCAAACTTGTTTCCTGAAAAGGGACAAAATAATCTGTGTAAGGAAACACAAGACATCTGAAAATGCCACACAGCGATCGCCACAGCAAATTCGTGGAGTACCCGAATTGGTACCGCACTATGACAAACATTTATCTAATCAGGCAATTGAAATTTAATCAAAATAATCAAGGGTGACCCATTTCAATACTATTGTTCCACCTGTGTGTGCCACATGCCACGCCCTGTTTAATAGCATTATATCAACAACTGATGTTGAGTTGCATCAAATAAGGAATGTTGGTACTGCCTGGATACAAGATGGACGAAATGGGAATACCATTATGTCCTGTTCTAATATTATCGTTCATTTCCGTTGTATTTTATTCAAGGTACTCGACACAACACACGTGTTTTTTGTAAACAAGTTTCTAACCACATTCAGGATATTCTCGTAATTGTGTGTGTTCCAAAACAGAAGGAGTTGGGGTATATTGGTAAAAAGTATAACGTACAAATGGCAACAACTGGTCCTCAGCCAATCCTGTTTTGAGGCAGCCAGCACTGATAAGAGGGAGAACTAAATGTTTGCAGGACTGTAACTCCGACAGCCGCCACCAAACTGCATGCTTCAAGGTCACAGTAAAATCGTACAACGTTGCAACTCGAATATCGAAGACCAGGCGAAGGAACTCAGCCCAGATGTGGCGGCGAGCAGAAGCTGGCAACGCTGCGCTGGTAACTTCCAGCACAGCGACCAAGTCCTTCCGTGACCTTGATGCACTTAGTTTGATGACGGCTACCGGGGTCCCCGTCCTTACCGGAACGTTGAGTTGCGAGTGCGACATGGCAGTGGCTGCGGGGCTCAGGTAGTCCATGTTGGTGTAATAGGCGCCGTAGTTCTGGTGGGGCGGCGGGTAACAGTTCGACGACGGCACTGAACCTTGCGTCGTCCCCGTCGTC